AATTACTATTATCAATCAACATTTTAAATAATATTTAATTAATAAAAAAACTTAAATAAATAAATTTGGGTCTTACTATTTAAAAACACATAATTTTTGTATGAACTGAAAATCAAATGCTTAGAGTACTCCCAACTACTTCAACTACTTTTAGAATGTTTAGAGTTAGAGTACTCTAAACAAACGAAACAAATATTTATTCCATTCCATTTTGTTTTTATGCCTATACATTCGTATTTGTTCGTTGAGAGTGAGAGTATGCTACCATTCTAAACACAATAGAATGCTTTGAAACTGAAATCAAATGCGCGCGTGCAATACTCTAATACATATCCAGATATAATATAATAAAAACAGCGATCGTACGGATTTGGCTGCTGAACCATGCTCAGGCAACTTCAAACACTATTAGAAGCACCACACCTTAATCCCATAGAACATCTGTTGGTTTATTTAGAAAATAAGATTCGCCAGCATACGATTTCCAGCAAGGATATGTTCAAAAATATCATCAAGGAAGAATGGTTAAAAATAAAGGCACAGGATACTGCAAAGCTGGTTGAATCCTTGCAAAGACGCTTAAAAGGGGTTATTAAACGCAGAGGTTCTCACACAGACTATTATATTTAAGATTTCTGTGAATTTTAATTGTTTTAGTGTAAATATTAAGAAGTATCCGTAGACTTTTTCTGCTTCAAAAATTGTTGCTTTTGCATATAATTGTGTATAATTTTATTTTAAAGAATAACTGTTAATTTCTTATATTAGAGCATTATTGTTGTTTCTTTGGTTAAAATAAATCAGAAAACAAAAATCAATTTGAGTAAAAATTGAAAAAGTTATGCAAAATTTAAGAAAAATTTTGTGGGTGTCCGTACATTTTTTCTGCTATGTGTACATATATAAGCATATTTTAAAATAAAACTCAGAAGATAATAATTAAATTTTGCTTTATGTTATATTTTTGAAAAATAATTAATATTATGTGCCTTTTATTTTTCCCCGCATAAATAACACATACGCTTTGCTTTTTATTTAAAAACGTAAAAAGAATTAGTTATAAAGACGTGATTAATTGCTATATTGCAACATTGTGTTTAACTATGCAGTTTTAATTTGGAAATTGTGAGACAAAACCAATGCAAATAATGCGAGTTGTAAAAGGGTTAACTTTATCATATACGACAATAACATATAAGTAATTATTTTTAGAAATAGTACTAATATTTCAATTACATACGTTTAGGTATCATTGTTGTAGAAAATTTTATATGTATTGTTAAGTAGATATTCATCACGAACATATTTTTATTTTCAGAAATTTAATACCAGATGAAAATCTTGTTTGGTGTCCAGAACAATTAATGACAGCAATTTTAGCACATATTCATTATTTACCATTTCATTGGAAAAATAATGCTCACACAATCAAAGTTAGAAAGGAATTTGAAACACTGTTTCAGTTGAAAGCGGTAAGTACATATAATTAAATAAAAAACTTTTTAAGTTAATATTATATAATTTACAGATTTATTTACTAAATGAGATATGTAGTCCTCTGATAACTCCTTTTATATTAATTTTTGTATTAAAACCAAAAGCTCTTGAAATTGTTAAATTTTTTAAGAGTTTTACTGTTTCTGTAAAAGGAGTGGGAAATGTTTGTTCGTTTGCACAGATGGATATTCGGAAACATGGTAATCCGGATTGGCAACCTTGTAATTTAGATGCTAATGCTGAAAATATAAATGAAATCATGCATCCTCTTTCAAATGGAAAAACTGAATTGTCGCTACTTCGATTCACTTTAACTAATCCAGAATGGCCATTGCCGAGTGCTGCCAAATATTTTGTCAAATCTATTCGTGCAAATGCATTACAAGAATTAATTAAAGCAAAAGAAACATGTACCAATAACAATTCAAATCCTATAACTCGAAGTTTATTATCTTTTGGAACAATTGCTAATGAGGTACAATATTTTATTAGTTATAGCTTTTATCTATTGCAGATAAAATGTACTAATTTACATTTTATGAATATATAGTATTCTTCAATCGCTAATTCTGTACTTGATGCTCATAATGTCCACGAAATTGGCTTGAGAAAATCAACAAACTCTACTATCTGCTCGAAAGCTCCGAAATACAGTTGTTACAAAAATAATGAAGAAATTCAAGAAAGTGATTTTGAGCAAATGCTGCAACAGAATCTAAGTGATTTAACGCAAGAGCGCATAGAAAATATTTCAATATCTGCCGTTCCCGGAATGAAGAAAATGCGAGTATATAAGACTGAAGGGCGCCTGGAGGGACCATCAGACACATTGTTAAATAGGTAAAATATTAAACAAAAAATAAAAAGGATATTTCTAAGTCAAAACAGTATAAAACAACATACGTAACACACACAATATCGATTAATTGCATTTCTCGAGCTGTAGTTTATAAGCTCGTTATAATAGAAACACGACTAGTCTTCTAAGAAATCAGAAAAGAGTAATAGAAATTCCAAAGTTTGAGAAACCAAAATTTCTTACAATTTTGGCTAGTTCGTTTAAAATAACATGCTTGTGACTTGTTTTGTAAATTTGAATACAAAAATTTAATTTATAAGCCAAACAATAAAACGTGGTTTTGAAGTTATTTAGTTTTAGTTCACTTCAGTGCATATAATTATAAATAAATATTTTCAGCATTCATGGAAAAAATTTGCACATCAATTCCGTTAACATAATGATTGCCGACATGTGCCTGAGTGCTCTTTATTTGCATGAGTTAAATAAAAGAAATGTAAGTACTTACTATTACAATTAATTAACTAAAATAATTCTCAATTACTACTTTTAATTAATTTTAAGTATAGTTTTTATGTGAGTTTTGTATAAGTAATAAACGAACGAATATATTTTTTCTTAGTACTATTAACAAAAATAAGGTTTTTTTGAAAATAAACATTTTCGGTATTAAATATTACATGGCATTAACGTTATATCCTCTTCAGCGCAAATGTGGTTTAAAGTTTTACAATTTTAATTCTTTCAATTGCGTCGTCAACGATATTGGTTTCTAACTTTTCTTTTTATGTATCACCAAAAACATAGTGTTGGGGCCTCAAGAGTTTTTGAAACCACTATCGACAACAAAACTAGGAAACAAAACGAAGTTTTTAAAGAAAGACCGACTCGTTTGAACTTTTACAAGAGACTAATTTTATTTTTAATTTCATAGTATTTTATAATAAAAAAGGGTTGCCAACTGCAACCAAAAAATAAGTAAACAAAATATTCCAAATTAATAATACATTTTAATAGAAAAATATAAAGCCAATCACGAACATTCTTCCCCCATTGGAACGGTCGCGTTCCAAGAGAGATCATTTAAAGGCAAGATACAGAGCTTCGTGACAGTGCGTCTAAAAACACCATGTTTTGTGCGCACTACCGCTACACGAATGACACCATCAGGACCAGATATGACTTCAATAACTCTACCGAGCGGCCAGCGAAATGGCGGGAGATTGTCATCCTTTAAAAGAACTATTGCACCAAGTGATATATTTGGAGTCGGCCTTCGCCATTTTGATCGCTCTTGTAGCTGTGTAAGATATTCGATACTCCAGCGTTTCCAAAAAATTTGTTGAATATATGAAATGCGCTGCCAGCGATCAAGCCGGTTAACATTCAAGACCGTAGTGTCAGGCTCAATGATTGATGTTAACGGGGCACCGATTAGAAAGTGAGCAGGTGTGAGAACATCAAGATCTTCAGGACATTCTGAAAGCGGGCAGAGTGGACGAGAGTTGATAATAGCAGCAATTTGGCAAACCAAAGTGCGTAGTTCATCGAAGTCTAAAACTGCTAAGCCAACCGCTCGACAAAAGTGATATTTGGCTGTTTTTACGGCAGCTTCCCAGAGGCCACCGAAATGTGGCGATCCAGGAGGTATGAATTTCCATTCGATGCTGTCACTGAGACATTGATGGTGAAGCAGCTCATGATGTTTTTGAGTAAAGAAAAGTCTCCTGAGCTCAGCAAGCTGATTTTTGGCACCGCAAAAATTTGTAGCATTATCTGACCAAATGATTTTTGGTTTGCCACGAGTTGAAATAAATCGCTGTAATGCGGCTAGAAATGCTGATGTTGTTAAATCCTTGACCAATTCAAGATGGACAGCTTTGGTCGCGAAACAAATGAATAAACAAACATAGCATTTGATTGGAGACTTATTGCGAACTTCGGACTTGTAATAAAAAGGACCACAAAAGTCTGTGCCAGTAATGATGAAAGCACGATTAGCATGAACACGATCTTTTGGTAATTGTCCCATGATATGCCTTGCAGTTATTGGTTTCGCTCGGAAACATATAATACATTGGTTGATGACCTTGGATACTAGCTTTCTACCTCCTATTGGCCAATATTGAAGACGCATTGAAGCAAGCAATGATTGTGGACCTGCATGCAGCATTTTGCGATGAAAATGATTTATGATTGAAACAGTGAGTGGATGATGCTTAGGTAGTATAATTGGATGTTGTGCATTAAAGTCTAGGTTAGAGTTTTTTAGTCGTCCACCAACACGAAGTAGACCAAGATCATCTAAAAATGGAGTTAAGGAGAATAAGTTACTTGAGCAACTAATTGATTTTTTGCATTCCAAATTATGATATTCATTCCATAAATTCGCCTTTTGCACTGTTCGAATTAATATGAATGTACCTTGCTGTATGTTATTAGCTGTTAAAATAGTAGATCGCTCCTTGCTGATGAATTTGTGGACATACCCAAATATACGTTGTATTTTGTAAAAATTGTTGATAAATTTCCAATTAATCGAAATGTCATTTGTTTTTACAGTTGAAATAAGAACTGCCTTGCGTTTTTCAGGCAAATCATACAGCAGGGGATAAGTCATAGGCCAATTGTTTCGATCTCCAAGCAAGAATGGAGGTCCTCCACATTGCCAAAGTGATGAAGTTAAAAGTTCGTCTGGAGTCGCTCACTTAGATAGGATGTCTGCGGGATTTAAATCAGTGGGAACATGATGCCATGTCATCCCTTTAGTCAAATGTTGAATTTTGCTCACTCGATTGGCCACGAATACATTGAAGGTAGACGGTTCAGATCGGATCCAGGATAACACTATAGATGAGTCAGACCAACAGTGAATTTCAGCGTTAAATATATTGAGACTTGAAATTTGGTGAATTAGTTGAGCTAATAAAGCTGCGGCACATAATTCTAATTTTGGTACTGTCAATGTTTTTAATGGTGCTACTCGAGACTTTGAACAAAGCAAATTGGCAGACTCAGAACTTCCGTGCTTCGAAACAACATAGATGCAAACGCCATATGCGTTCAAACTAGCATCACAAAAGGCATGTAATTCGAGTGATGCATGAGAGATTGAAACACAACGAGGAAATTCTAGTCTTTGAATTATATGGAGACGATTGTAGAGGTCAGTCCATGCAGTGTGGAGTTGGTTCGGAAGGCTCTCGTCCCAGTCGAGTGTGTGTTTCCATAAACACTGTAAAAATATTTTTGCCTTTGATATCAAGGGACCAACAAGACCAAGCGGGTCATAAAGTCGGGCAATAACAGAAAGCACAGAGCGCTTTGTAGTACGCCTTGAGTCTTGATGTGGTGCAAAGGTAAATAAAAATTTATCATTGGTTGGATCCCACAGCAGACCAAGAGTTTTTGTGAATTCGCTGCCGTCATCGAAATTAAGCAATGGCTCTCTATCGTCTTCTGGAATATCATCAAGTGCAGATAATTGATTTGAACACCATTTCCTTAGTTTGAAATTCCCTTTATTGAGCAATGCAGTGGTTTGTCTCACAATGTCTTGAACATCATCAATGCAATTGCCACCGGAGATTAAGTCATCAACATAAAAATCTCGAAGAGTAATTTTGGAACCAATAGGAAAGTTTAATGATTCATCAACTGCTAATTGCTGCATAGCACGGACTGCCAGGAATGCTGCTGGCTTTGTGCCATAAGTCACCGTATCAAGCTTAAATACTTTCAATGGTTCTTGCATGTCATTTCTCCAAAGTATACACTGTAAAAAGTTATCCGGGCGTGTGACTCGAACACCACGATACATTTTGCAAATATCCGCAGTTACTGCAATAGGAAAAGATCGAAAACGAATGAGTAAGTCAATGAGATTTGGTTGAATTGTAGGACCCGACATTAATATATCATTTAAAGAGTATCCCGTGGAAGTGGCTGCTGACCCATCAAATACAACACGTAGTTTTGTGGATGAACTTGATTCTTTGATGACGCAATGATGTGGCAAAAAATACTTGGGACTAGTTAATTCTTCATCAGTTAATGGTGACATGTGATTAAGCTGCAGATACTCTTTTATAAATGCACTATATTGTGTCTTTAGATCAGTGTTTCGTTGTAGTTTGCGTTCCAGATTATAAAAACGACGTGCAGCTTGTTGATATGAGTCACCAAGTAGCTGAATATCTAATTTCAATGGTAAGCGAACTGAGTACTCACCAGTTACCAATCGAGAAAAGTGTGCTTGGAAATGGGCTTGACAATCTAAATGCTCTTTCGTAATTTTGATTACAGGATCAAAACAACTTTCTAGCTCCCAAAATTTTCTTACTTGTAGATCCAAGGAGTGATACCGATCATCCGGAGTTGATGACTTTTTAAATGTGGCTAGTGACGATGATATTGAAGAATGCTGGTTACCTCCAGAAACTACCCAACCAAAAAGCGTTTTTTGTAATACTGGTAATTGAGGCGCTAAACGGATTTGACCTATATATAGTAGATCGAAAAAGAGAGCTGCACCAATAAGAATATCAATACGTTGTGATTTATAGAATGCTGGATCAGCTAGTTGAAGATTTTTTGGAATATTCCAATCAGTTGTATTAACGTTTGTGCTGGGATGTTGATTAGTAATTTTAGAAGTAATCACTGCGGTGATGCTACTGGTGTAATTGCCAAAACGTGATTTTATGGATAACTCAGTAGTGCTGTTATCGACAAAATCTCTATCTGTAATACCTGATATTACTGTGGCACATTTTGTTGTTTTAAGTTGAAGTGTGTTGGCAAGTGATTTTGTAATAAAGTGTAATTGCGATGCTGAATCCAGAAGAGCACGACATGGTATATAAGAGCCAGCACGATTTCTTATTAAGATGATTGCAGTTGCAAGAAGCACACATTCACTTGAAGGATATTTTTGGGTTTGTTGCGAGGCGTTTGTTGAAACTAAGTAAGCCTGCACTTTAGATTTAGTATTTGACGTCGGATTAACTAATGGTACATCATTAGATGAAGAAAAGGTACTGTCATTAATACGATCATTTAAATGCAAGAGCGTGTGGTGAGGTCTTGAGCAAATACAACAAAACGAAGACTTGCATTGTTTTAATTGATGTCCCTTTTTTAGACAATTTAAACAAAGGCTAAGTTTTCTGGCTTCAGTTAGACGAAGTTTTGGAGAAAGATTTGTAAATTGACAACAGGAGTAAATGAAATGATCATCACTTTCACAAAATGTACATCCCTTTGAGTTTGTTGCTATGAACACTTTTCTGGCAATTGGATGGAGATTGATTTGCTTAGTTTTGTTATGTGCTGAAAATTTCGTGGCGTAATCAACATGCTCCAAAGTTTTACATCTTTTATCAAGAAAATCTGCCATTTGATCCCACGTAGGTATTGCATCAATTGAAGCCTTTTCTTCCCATTTTGCTTGAGATGCAGGATCTAGCCTTTGCGAAACAAGATGTACCATGAGACCATCAGCAATTTGTTCCTTGCTGCCCAGCGTGCTCAATGCATGTAGGTGTGAATTCATTTTATCACTAAGGCGTCGCAGATCAACAACGGCGTTTGGTTCAACACGTCGCAACCCAAATATTTCCTTTATGTGTGCCTGAAAGATTAATCTTTTGTTATCAAATTTTTTAGATAATAATAAAAGTGACTTAGCATAGTTAGCGTCACTGACTTCAAGTGACTTTATTGCATCTAGCGCTGAGCCCTTCAAACAAGATCTTAAGTGCTGAAGTTTTTCGAGATTGCTGAGTTCAATGCTTTCATCAACAATTGTTCCAAACATTGAAATGAAATGCGGCCAGTCCTTGATGTCACCACTGAAGGTCGGGAGTTGAAGTTCTGGCAGCCTTGAACGCGAGTATTTAACATTAATAGAAGGAGCCTCATCGTTCGATAGAAATCTACTAGTTGAATTTCTGATATTCGTTTGACGATGGGACAGCTCTATTATGATCGCGGATTTAATGTCAATATACTTCTGTTCAAAGTTATCTCGCACCTCACTTTCCAGTTCATGGAAGTCTTCTTGTTCGAGACTAGATTGAGCTGCGTCAAACTTAGTGTTGAGTTGTTGAAGAGAGTCGATGTAGAGTTGTAGTTGCACTTCATGGCAATTACTTAAAAATTCAGCAGACAACTTTTTCTCCAAATCCTTTAGTTGTGTTACTAGACGTGAACATTTTAATTTTAAAAATGTTGATGCCTCTATCTTATCTCCTTCCATCATTAATGTTCGTTAACAGATGCAAGTAATTGAGATCAACTACAAAAAATATAGATGATTCGCAGTCGAACCGTTTGAATGATTCGCACAACTGTTGTTTTTTTTGTTTTGTAAAAAATTGATGATGGTTGATGCGGCGCTGCCGACGCAAATGAAGTACCGCAAACCAACTGTTCAAATAAACCCGCACAAAAATTCGCAACCGAATCACGCGAGTTTTTTTTTTTTTTTTGCAAAATGATGTAACCGAAACAAGTAAAAAATTGTTTGATGCGGCGCTGCCGACGCAGCTATAATGTCGCAAACCAAAACTGTAATGTTCAAATAAACGCACACAAAAATTCGCAACCGAATCGTGCAATTTTCAATACAACAAATGTTTTGAAAATATAAAAGAAAAGCACTAAAGTTTTGCACAAGTTTTTCCCTTTTTTTTTTTTATAAAATGATGCAACCGAAACAAGTAAAAAATTGGTTGATGCGGCGATGCCGACGCATATGAAGTACCGCAAACCAACTGTTCAAATAAACCCGCATAAAAATTCGCAACCGAATTGCGTGAGTTTTTTCTTTTCTTTTTTGCAAAATGATGAAACCGAAACAAGTAAAAAATTGGTTGATGCGGCGCTGCCGACGTAGCTGTAATGCCGCAAACCAAAACTGTAATGTTCAAATAAACGCACACAAAAATTCGCAACCGAATCGTGCAATTTTCAATACAATAAATGTTTTGAAAATAAAAGAAAAACACTAAAGTGATCAACGTGATCACGTCGGGGTCACCAAAATGTTGGGGCCTCAAGAGTTTTTGAAACCACTATCGACAACAAAACTAGGAAACAAAACGAAGTTTTTAAAGAAAGACCGACTCGTTTGAACTTTTACAAGAGACTAATTTTATTTTTAATTTCATAGTATTTTATAATAAAAAAGGGTTGCCAACTGCAACCAAAAAATAAGTAAACAAAATATTCCAAATTAATAATACATTTTAATAGAAAAATATAAAGCCAATCACGAACACATAGTATATAAAAACATGTAATTTGCTTTTGTTAAAAAAATCATGAATTCTGAAAAGGTACACGCAATGGGGTAAACATGTCTGTTGAAACGTATAAAGAATCGAACTTATTATTTTATGTATGATCAATGCTATTTTGTTAAAACCATGTTATGCAGAGTGTCGCGGGCACGGCATGAGTACAATTGTTGTTGTTTTTAATGCAAATTTTAAATTGGAGAATGAGGGAAAAAACAATACGGCCGTTCAAACTCCGGCATGAGAGCCGGCATATTTGTGCCCTGGCACTAAGGCAAAACAGTGTTGTTTAGTAATAAATTTCAAAATTTGCGCATTTTAAGAGCAATTTATACAATTCTAATACGTTTTGGAGGAAAAATTGCAGCAAACAACACAACCTTTTTTTTTATAAATCGCTAATAATATAATTATTACACTTTTCGATTTTAAAGAAACGACTAAGTACTGTTAACAATTTTTATAAGATAATACGAGGGCGATTTGATAAGTTAGTGACTTTGAATTTCCCCCGCAGGTACTCCAAATGCAATAATGCTACCATCAGCTGTTATCTACCAGTGGGTAACTTTTAAATTTTGAGCAAGCTACGTTGTTCAGTTGGGGTTTGATAGCCGTTCTAAGCAGACAAGCTCGTGAATTTTTATGAAAATGGAAAAAAGTAAGTTTCGTGTGCTGATTAAGCATTACGATCCCAAATCCACAAATTGGGATACGAATGCTACTCTATTCAGCATATTCTCCAGGTTTATCCCCCTGCGATTATTTTCTGTTTCCAAACCTAAAGAAATGGCTGGGCGGTAAGAGATTTGAGTCGAATGAAGAAGTCATTACCGAAACAAACGCGTATTTTGAGAGCTTTGAGAATACCTATTATTTGGAGGGAATAAGAAAATTAGAAAAACGCTGGACTAACATTATTACAGCCTCTATGAGTTATTTTTGGTAGTTATTTTTGATGGCAAATTTAATATAGGCACAACCTTATTACAGCCTCTATGAGTTTTTTCTTGCTAGTTATTTTTGGTGGCAAATTGAATATAGTCACTTAACATAACTCTGCATAACATGCATTTTCGGCATAGCCCGAAAGAGGGAATAGCTCGAATTTTGCCGTGCCCAAGACACTCTACATAACACGGCCCTTAGTGAAGTTATTAATCAAGACAATAGCGAACATATTGTGTTTTGCTTGGACATACCCATATAGAAATACCTTTAATATCAGAGCCAATGCACACATAGCTTCTAGTGCGTGCGTAAGTAAGTTTTTTGGTACACTTTTTCTATTCTTCATTATCGCACAATTACTGAATATCTTTGTATGCGTAGGTAGGTAAGACAACATTTTGAACCCAGCGTACACATTTTTAATCGCGGAAGCATCGTTCGCAATGCTTTTGCGTGCTTTGTTTTTCGCGGAAGCGTATTTAATTCAAACGCAGACGATGCTTCTGCGATTTTTTTGTATGGAAGAGTTGTCCATTGTCCGCGAATCGCTTACACGCGCAACTATTCACTCTCTAAAATCATCGCGAAAGGCGCGCAAATGAACGTTATGCGCGATCATTCTAAATAGTGAGCATTCCTCTCAAATTAATAAGAGCTTTTAGTATTGCAACTTGTACATTTAAATTTTATTTTTTATATTGTTTATAATTAATTTTTATTGTAAATAAAAAGAAAGCACTAATATAAAAAAGTAAATAATATAAATATTAATAAATTATTACAAAACACTTATTGTATTGTAAAAAGTAAAGTAACAATATAAAAAAAGCAAATAATATAAATAATTAATAAATTATTACAAAACATTCTCTTGAGATTTCAGTTTCCGCTTCTTAATTCGGTCTTTGGCATGCACAAAATGTTATTGAAGCACCGAGTTTATTTTAACATCATTCACATGTGGAAATTAAAGAAGACCGATGTCTGCAGAATGGGAAGTTATATATCAGAGCAATTTAATAATTAAAATATTTACCAGTTGATATATTATATATAAGTTTTTTTTTTTTTTTTTTTTATTTTAATATAATACTGCAACTAGTTTATTACAATGAAACTAACAAGCAATTTTAGTTTATCAAATATAAAATTGAATTTAAAGTAAAGATGCTTAAGCTAATTACCAACTAGATCGTTGGGTAGAGTTCTTTTTAATCTTCTATCTGATTGCATAGGATAAGAGAGACACATAGCCTCTGCATTTACGTGATGCCTAAGTCTGTAGGCATGAGAATTTGCAAACTTAGTGATGACGTCCGCTACATATTCAATGTCGAGGTCCCGATGCAGATCAGAGTTACGTATATACCAAGGCGCTTTAACAATACACCTCAATACCTTATTTTGAAAACGTTGAATAACCATACGGTTAGTTTTATTTGTGCAGCCCCAAATCTGTATGCCATAACTCCAAACGGGTCTAAGGATCTGTTTATATAATAAAAGTTTGTTTTCTAGTGAGAGTTGAGATTTCTTTCCCATAAGCCAATACAGTTTCTTCCATTTAATATCAAGCTCTTCTCTTTTTATTTTGACATGTTCTTTCCAACGCAATTTCACATCTAGTGTCATGCCAAGATATTTAGCAGTATTTTTGCATGGGATTACACAACCATTCAAATAAACAGGCTTATTTTGAATTTTCCGATTTGTGAAGTTAATGTGAACAGATTTAGTACTATTAAGTTTTATTCGCCATTTCTTACACCATTTACTGACTTCAGAAATCGTAGCCTGAAGTGTGTTAGTTGAATCATCAACGTCTGAACCAATACTCAGAAGAGCTGTGTCATCTGCAAAGGTAGCAGTACAAACATCCAGCGCAGAAGGGAGATCGGCTATGAATATTAAATAGAGAGTTGGGCCAAGAATACTACCTTGCGGCACCCCAGCTTTGATTGTTTTCAGCTCAGATGTAATGTCATTTTGTTTGATTCGGAAGAATCTGTCAGTCAAATAGGATTCCAAGAGATCGCAATATTGTTTAGGGAGCGTGCTTCGCAGCTTTAACATAAGACCATTGTGCCATACTTTGTCAAATGCTTTGGCTACATCAAGAAAAACAGCAGAGCAAACTTTATTTCCTTCCAAGGCTTGTTCAATTACATTGGTAATTCGGTGAATTTGATCGATTGTAGAATGTTTATTTCTAAATCCGAATTGATGGTCTGGGATCAATTTTCTGTCCTCAATAAGTTTGTTAAGACGTTTAACAATAATTTTTTCGAGCAGTTTTGATAATACTGGTAGAAGCGAAATTGGTCTATACGATGAGACCTCAGGCGCTGGCTTCCCGGGTTTGAGAATCATTATAACATCGGCTACTTTCCAAAGACTCGGAATGTACTTTAATAGAATGCACGAATTGAATAAATTAGTAAGCCTTAGAACTATGTTATTAGGAACCTTTTTTAATACCTCGGCGGTGATGAGGTCAAAACCTGGCGATTTTTTATTTTTCAGCTTTTGAATTTCCTGTTCTAGCTCTATTGGAGTAACAGGACGGATCTGAACCTCAGGTTCTAAAATCAAACGATTGTCTGTTTCGTCATAAGTTTCGTCATCTTGACCGCAGTTAGGCGTAAATGATTCCTCAAGATATTCAGCAAAAACATTTGCCTTGTCTAAGTCACTTCGGGCCCATTTACTGTTGTTAGCTCGTATAGCTGGGATGTGGCTGATGGGTCTTTTTAATTTATTTGTACATTTCCAAAGAGAGTAATCTGACGTTTTTTTATCTGAAAGCTGAGAAAGGTAATTATTAAACGAGCTATTTTTGAAAAGCTTAATTCTCCGTCGTAGCTTTTGTGTTATACGGTTTAGTGCCGCTTTATCTGTTGGAGATCGTGATTGCTGCCATTTACGACGCAGAAAACGTTTCGTCCGAAGAGTTGATACGATTTCATTAGGAAAGTTGATAGCGTGATTATGTCGTTGAATGGATGGG